GCAGCTAGTCCTGGACCACAGAGGTTCAACCTGTACTGATTTAAATTTTCTAATTCATTAATTTAAATTCACTTAAATCTGAGTACCTGTTCAAATCACTGCTCTTTAGTGTTTTCTCCTTTTTCTTTTTCTTCTTTTTTTCTGTTGTCTCCTTTTTCACAGTAGATGGCATTGCCTTAGTTGAATTATGTAGAAGAAAAGCAGCTAGTCCTGGACCACAGAGGTTCAACCTGTACTGATTTAAATTTTCTAATTCATTAATTTAAATTCACTTAAATCTGAGTACCTGTTCAAATCACTGCTCTTTAGTGTTTTCTCCTTTTTCTTTTTCTTCTTTTTTTCTGTTGTCTCCTTTTTCACAGTAGATGGCATTGCCTTAGTTGAATTATGTAGAAGAAAAATAAATAAATGGGGTACCTCTGCCCTAATGAATATTTGATCCATGACAGCAGTTTCATTACTTCTAACTTTTCTTCTTTTAGCATGTCCTAAACAATTTAAATGTACAGACAGAACATGCATTCCTTTAAACAATCAATGTGATGGATGGAAAGACTGCTCTGATGGCAGTGATGAATTAGACTGTGGTAAGTTTATTCATCTTCTATTTATAAAAACTGTCCTTCATCAAGTCCAACAGTCTCTTTTTTGGGGCATAAAATGTATTTTTTTAAAAGGTGAATTCAGAGAATACTACTTTAAAATAACACCGTTGAATAATACCATGTAACTTTTATTGACAAAAATACAATACAAAAGAAACTTCTGGAGGTAGCCGAGTTAGTCTGTACAGGATAAACTTAAAAAACAACAAATAGTCAGGTAGCACTTTATAGACTAACAAAACATGTAGATGGTATCTTTTGGATCTGTGTGAGTTTCTTTGTGAAGTTGATGGATTTCCACTTCATACGGCTGAATGCAGTGCCTTGCATGTTCAGAAGTTTCAGGGGTAGCCAAGTTAGTCTGTACAAGATGAATTTAAAAAACAACAAATAGTCTGGTAGTCTATAAAGTACTAACAAAACATGTAGATGGTATCAGACTACCAGACTATTTGTTGTTTTTTAAGTTAATACAAAAGAAGCAATCCTTCCAAAAACATAAATAATGTTTAACATATTTATTCCAGTGCTTCCTGTAAAAGAACTAAAACCATGGAAAGGGTAATCTTAGACTACTTCAGAGTATTGGGTTCTTAAGTGTTTTCAGATCCTGTAACTAGGAAATACTGTGATATTTAAAGATCTCTCTTCTTCAGGATGTAATCCAGAGGAGTCTAGTTGTCATGATGCAAAGTGTAAACGCCGTTCAAAGACTTGCAAAGGGGATGATAGTTGTGGAGAGGATAGTGACGAAAATGATTGCCGTAAGTGCATTGAAAAATAGTTTTGGAGGATATGGGTGAGGAGTGGGTGTGTGTGGGTGTGGAAATAGGGATATTTTCTTGTTTTCACTGTCTAAAGTTAGTGAATATCTCATAAATACATGGACGAGTAGCCTGTTTGTGTGTATGTGTGATGTGAGGATAACGGAAACTTTCATATGCATGCACCATGCTATGCTGTTCCAAATATTAATGTATGTTAATCATACTTCATTCATTATGTCATGTAAGAATTGCACCTGGGATTGACTTGGTGATCTGGATGCCAAGGAGGGTAGAGATGAACCTGCTGAGGGAACAGGAAAGAGCGATGGTATTTGTGCATGTGGGAATGAAAGTTGTTGCAGAATCAGAGATGTGAGAGATGGAAAAGAGGGATTCACCATCATATCCATTGCTCTGTTATTACCAGAATGTTCCTTGCAGAAGTGCAGGAAGGTCTGAGGTTCTGACCATTAGACTGAAACTAAGTCAATGTCTTTGCTGCAAAAACCAAGATGTTTCTTGCTTGATTGCTTTCCCCTGTCCCAGTCACCTGGGGAAAAAAGCATTTACATATTCTGGGGACTAGAGTCTTTCATAGATTGTAGATAACACAAGAGTACATGGTCAGCAACTAGAGAAAAGAAACTACCCAGTAGGCAAAACCTCAGGAGTCCCCAGTCCATTTGATACCCAGAGCTTTCATCTCAATACTTTCTCAGCCCAGGGAACAACTTTCTGCTTAAATATCAGATTAAGCCTCTATGCCTTCAAAATCCTGGGAGAGCACCGCTCTCAGGCTGGCCCTCTGCAATGAACTCCTCAGAGAAGTCTGCATTGGTGAGGCTAGGCATCTGGCCCAGGCATGACTTCAGGGCATTAAAAAGCTTCATCTCATCTGTTGTCCCACTAGACCTTTTTGGCATCTCTGGCTTTTAGTAGATCATTCAGGGGAGCTTCAATCAATGCCATGTTGGACGCAAACCAGTAATTATATCCTTCCAAACGTAGGAAGCAGTCTTATCTGTCTGCTGGGCCAACATGTGAGGCATGAATTTAACATTTGGACTTTAACTAACACCGTGTCAAGGCATCTTTCTATCCAATATTCTAAATAAGACACATTTGACATGGCCAATTTACAGTTGGCAGGATTACCTCTGAGGCTGAGGAAAGTCACAACCCCTCTTAGGTGAAACAGGTAGTCATCCCATACATGGTTAGGGCCAGTGCTTTTTTTGTTTTAAAAAAAAAATGTCGGTACTCCAGGGGAAATGTTGTTGAGCTCTGATTGGAGGTGCTGGTACTGCGTGTGGAGGTGCCAGTACTGAGTACCAGGCAGTACCGTTGCAAAAAAAGCCCTGGTTAGGGCTACAATATTGCAAAGGTAACCTCCAGCTTATTGTTTTTGTGGTCTGAGGATTAGATTTATAAGGTGCCGGAAAGCTGTTGCCACCCCCTTTCCCTTTTGAGGCTAAATAGCATGGTTTAAAAATGCCCAAAGGGGGTGGAAAACACATTCTGGAAGGATAGAAACCAGGGGATCAGCCAGTAGCTTTATTTAGGGCCATCCATGCTGAAGTAACATACTGGGCCCAACCACTCTAACAGCTCAGCCACGTTTGTCACTGGGTAATTGTGATGGAACGGACCATACAAAAGCTTGCCCCTCTGTACAGTTGTCAGCCGACGGACAGGGCAGTGAGTGGTGTGTGTGTGTGTGTGTGTTACACACCTGAGACTTCAACTGCTGAGACCAGGGTCCCTTCTCAGCGGGCAACCTGGAGAAGGTTGACACCTAGCAGGTATATATTCTCACCCCTGCGTTCCAGACTACGTTCCAGAACCCCAGCAGATGGGGCTCATGAACAGCCAGGGGGTGCCCAGCGTCTTTCTCGCAATCCCTCGGGAAGAAGTAGGGCGAGGTTGGGCATCCCACAGACCTCTGGAGACAATCAATACCTGCCAGCAGGTGTAGATGATTGGAGCTCAAATGGGGTGGGCTACTAAACCCCTCTTTATACCCCTTGGGTCACGTAGGCTTCTTCCTGGTCTCAAGTGGCCAATTAGGAAAAATGGCTTTGAATGCCAAGTTTCCCACGAAGGGTGCGAAGCATAATTTACACCTGGGAAGATGCAGACAATGGGCACCTCTGGTATGTGATGGGCGAAGATTCCTCTCCTGGGACAGTGCAGGCGTGTCAATTACTGGTACTAGCCATCAGGGCGACGGGAGGCCCCGGGTCGTCAGCTAGCCCATTTACTGTCTGGTTTCTGTTTATGGTAGAGTCAGGGACAGGCACCACACCTGCGTTCCCAGGGCATCAAAGGCTGACTGCCTTTCTCTTGCTCTCTGCGGGGGGGAGGGGTTCATGTCTCAACAACTGTTGAGGTTTCCTCCTCTCTGAGTGGGTAGCTGTGGCACCTGGGTTCAGTATCTGCTGGCTGGCAACTAGCACCATGGAAGGTCTTGGTTGGCAAGTAGGATCCCATATCTAGTGATCCATTAGTGAAAAAAGTCTCTATCAGTTACACCATGTGCTGAAGACCCATTTCCAGACTCTTTCTGGAAGTATGGATAAAAACTCTGCATCCTGGGCCAGTCCAGAGTGCTTGCTGGGGCAAAGCTTTTGATACGGTCTCCTGCATAATTCTTGCCAGCAAGTTAAGGAAGTATGGATTAGTTAAATGGACTGTAAGGTAGATAGAAAACTGCCCCAAACACCTCAGTGCCAGACTCCTGTTTCCAGAGCCCACTGCATCCAATCCCTCCAGGTCTCCCCCTCCTACTAGCCCCACGCTCAAAGCCCCCCAGTGCACCTCAATGCCCCTGCCCACTATCCAGAGAGCCCTCTAAAGCCCGTGTGCCTGTCCCACCCCCCTCATCTAACCCTGCTGCTGCCCCCTAGTCACCAGCTGAGTGCAGAGCACTTCCCTGTGTGGCGGGAGGGCTGTGTGGAGCCCACAGCATGCCGGGCCCTTGCTAAGCGCAGCTGCAGCACTCGGCTGGGGCCAAGCACTGCATGGAGCCTGGCTGCCACAGCAGCTGGGCCCCTGCTGAGTGCTGCAGCTGAGCACTGCATAGTGGCCAGCGGAGCTGGAACTGGGACCACAGTGAGGCTGTCCCAGTAGGGACAGCCTCACTGTGGCCCAAGCTTCAGCCCAGTACACTGGGTTGCCTGCTGGACCACTCACCCTGCTGCTGCATGGGGAACTCCAGCAGATGGGGGTTCATGAACAGCCGGGGGGTGCCCTGGTAGTGTGCCACAGCCTGCCACCGGTCCGTGGGTGGTTGGGATGCTGTACTGACCTGTAATTATAGCCAGTTTCTCAGCCCTGGTCTACACTAGAGAGTTATTTCAAAATAACACACCTTCTTTTGAAATAACAAGCAGATCGTCCACAGCCCGTTGTTTTAAAACAATGGGCTGTTTATTTTGAAATAACTACTCCTGCTTGTCATGGGGAATAACAATCATTTTGAAATTGTTTTGGGAGTTATTTAGAAATAAGTTAACTTATTTCAAAATAATGCCCTAGTTTAGGCATACTTTCAGAACGTAGTTTTAAATTAGCAATTTATTTCATATGAATGGGTTTTATACCGAGATTGCAATTCAGATATCTTTTAAGAGTTGTATATTATAAAGGAAGATGAACAGTTTTAATGTCTAATGAATGACAGCGTGTGGCTGATTTTGAAATATCTACTTTGTTCTCTTACTTGCCATAGATCTTCTGTTAGTTTTTCCAGACAGTTGAATATATATAATATGACATACTACACTTTCCAGAGATATGTAATATAAAAGGAATGTTTAGGAACTTGGCTCCATTCAGCAATGCAAAGCAGCACAACCAGCTTTTTGGAAAACTGCAAGAGGCATTGGCTACTTTTTATTATGACTACACAAATACAGTGACACCTACAAAAATGCCATTACTTGGGGGATAGGAATGGATAAGAACTTGTAAACAAATGTCATTTAGAGTACAGATAAAGTTTTTACCATATTTATAAACACTGACAATCTGATTTTTGTAGAGCTAGCTCTATTTACATGTTGTATTCCTTTCGCCTAAACTTTTTTTCCTGGTAGATTGAGAGTTCCTTGAGGCGAAGACCATGTTCTCTTGTCTGTCTGCAAATAGCCCGGTATACTTGGGATGTTACAATAATAATTAATTAATTAATTAATGCATGATGCAGAAGTTTCTGGCAGGATTCCTAAGTAATACACTGTAACAGAGTCCTAACATTTTACCTGGAAATGGAGGTGATATCACAAAAGGAACTTAAGTCATTAACTCAAGTTTGAAACCTAATAAGTCCCTTTCATGGTGATTAACAGCTGCGTAATTGGACAACAGGCTGGTCAGCTGTTCAAAGTATTTGGAATGCTGAAAGTATTGGTGAGCAAAAAAACCAACAGAGAGCCTTAAAGCTGCACAGTTTTAGAGATAAAGTAGCCTAGTTTTGTTTTGGCAACTTAGCCCACTTCATTCCTGAATGACAACAGCCACAACAGGGTAATGCACTTTTGAATTTTGCATATTAACTTCATATGTTTAGCTGACTGCCTTAAATCTTTTGAGTGTCCCCATGTGGCTATGATGACATTAGTGGTGTAGCTTTCAATGCCTTTGTCCCAATCATATTTATAAAGTATACTGTCTTCATAAATTTTCTAAATAGCATAGAAAATAATTGCAACAAAACTGTTCCATTGTTCTCACATCAGTCATGTTTTCTTTCAGCCTATAAAAGTTGTTCCTCATATGCATATAAATGCCTGAATGGAAAATGCCCCACAAAACCAAACCCAGAATGTGATGGAATAAGAGACTGTGGAGATGGATCTGATGAAATGAACTGTGGTATGTGAAGTTTAAGTGAAAGAATTCTCTCACAAATTAACTTTCAGCAAATTTAAATATATACTTATATATTTGGCTCAAAAATTAGGTTAAATTTGGTGTATACTTTAAATGAAAATACAGGATTTATAAAACCCAATATGAATAAAATTAATGTATTGATATTTCTATAAAAACCATTCCCTTTACATCTGCTTTATCGACTCAGATATGGCCAGTTGAGGACTCCCAGAAAGTGACAGTTACTTAAAACTATCACATTGACCCAGTGCTGCTTGGGTCCTTAACTCAATTAAGGCGGTGGGTTTTTCTAAATAAAAGGAAAATGTACAAGCTTTATTTAACTCTGTATTTCTCAAAAATTATTAGGTTAATTTTTATTTTGGATTTCTTAAAAAAAATTGTGTACAATGTTTCCATTTAATTGTTTGTAGTATTTTTTTAAAATGGGAATTCCATCAAGTGTGTGTGTTTCATCATCCCTATAAACTGTATCATTTGCTATGTTTTTTTTTTAAAGGGCTATAGACCGTGTGATTAGCCATAACATTTTCTTCTAGTTTTCAAACCTTAAGAATGATTTAGATGAACCAAAAGAGCACTACTTAAATTTCTGTGTTTTATCTCTTTTCTGTAAGCTTTATTGGGAAGCAGTCCTATTGTAAGTTCATCCTATTGTTCTGGCTCATCTTGGTTCAGTCTGTTTCAACATGCTCAGTTATGACTGTGCTCGGTTTGGTGATTTTTGTCTCTTTTTTTGGTTTGGTCTTATGAGAAGCAATCCCATTTCAGGCTCATCCCATTTTCCTGGCACAACCAAACCCTTATGTTGCTTTAAGTTAATAAGAAGAACCTGGATATCAAATTTGGTGGGTTCTAGATCTAATAATTTAGGAGGCCTTGTTGAATGAACAAACACGCACTTCAGACCTACACATTGTCTAAAATATTGTATAGTAGATCCTGCACTAAATGAAACTGAACTCTCTGGTCACCGTTTCCAAGCTGAATGAAGTTTAAAAAAAGTAAAGAAGTCACATATGCAGTGAAAAGTAAACTAGATATGAAAACTTCCTCTTAAGTAAGATCTTACCTGTATTACTTCTAAAATAGAGGGTGGTACAGGCAGTCCCCGACTTACGTGGATCCAACTTACGTCGGATCCCTAGATACGAACAGGGTGAGGCAACTCCCGCACATGCGCAGAAGCATCCCCGGGGCTCGCTCACCTGGATCCTAGGATCCACCTCCTCCTCCTCCTCGGGCCGGCTCCAACTGGCCTCCGCCTGCAGCAGCAGCTGGCTGCAGGGAAAGGGGTCCCGCAGAGCTGCCGGGCGGAGGAAAAGTGCCTCCCCACGCCCGCTGCCCGCCGCGGCCTCGCAGCCTGCACGCCCCCCCGCCAGCAACAGGCTGCCCCCTCCCCTGAGCAACAGGCTGCGGAACAGACAAAAGCAGCCCCTCTGCCCCTCCTTCCCTCCATCAATGCCGGGCTCCCTGGGCAAACAAAGACTCCACCAAAACAAACAAAGTGCTGGCCTCATTGTGTTAGCAAAAAAAGGACCCTCCTCCTAGAACCCTGGGTGGTGTGTGGAAATAAAGCTATTAGCTCAAAGCATGGTGCAGAGCTGTTTGGTATTTGATGAGTTACTCCTTTAGTCCTGAGTTTGTCACAGGGACAGAAATAGATGTGAAATCTTCTGAACAGGGGAACAGACAGCAAAACAAACATTAGAGGGGAGTTAACCTTTCCCTATGCTATCCAAAACTAAAAAAAAAATGTTTGGCTAGAGTTTCCCCTACAATATGTACCAGTTCCGACTTACATACAAATTCAACTTAAGAACAAACCTACAGTCCCTATCTTGTACGTAACCCAGGGACTGCCTGTAGGGCCTGGCTGGATACGCAAGGTGGCTCAGATGAGCGCAAGCAATCAGTCACAAAGGCAGCCATGGGCCGGGGAGCGACCTGGAATAACTGGGCAGCACAGAGTCAAGCCCCGGGTTCTCTGTGTAGTAATGACATGGCAGGGGGCTCAGGGTTGGACAAGGCGGAGGAGGGGAGGAAGCAAGAATGAGCTGAGCGAATGCCAGAAGGGGGGCTCTGGGGACTCTGTGGGTGACCAGCTGTGGTCCTGACAGCTCTTCCTCCCTGTCACCACGCAGCACAGTGGACGATTTGGATGGGCAGAGGTGGGCTGCTGAAAAAGCTTCCTGAGAGATAAGGGGCTGTAACCCCTAGGAAGGGAAATTCACTCCTGTAAGAGTTATCATGGGAAAAAGGTGTCTCCACTGAAGCTTTATCGTCAATCCTTCTTTCCAAGACAACCCAAAATATTCAAAATCCAATTGTCACAGGGACGGAAAGAGATGTGAAATCTTCTGAACAGGGGAACAGACAGCAAAACAAACATTAGAGGGGAGTTAACTTTTCCCTATGCTATCCAAAACTAAAAAAAATGTTTGGCTAGAGTTTCCCCTACAATATGTGTCAGTTCTGACTTACATACAAATTCAACTTAAGAACAAACCTACAGTCCCTATCTTGTACGTAACCCGGGGACTGCCTGTATTGTTTTTGTATTATCAAGAGCATCCACTTGGTACCATGGCTTGGATATAACACTGGAGAAGAATCAGTAAATATGAATTCAGTTCCTGGTTCTGTCCCTGCCTTGCAGACACTTCATCTCATTTGTAATATAGAAATGATGGTACTTAACGTAGTTAACATTGCTTTATAAAACACTCTGAGATCTGCAGCTGGAAGAACAATAGTATTAAAAGTATACAATATTAATTATTGTAATTTCAATAGTAACACAAAAGTATTAATATACCCACATAAAATGACCCAATGCCTTATATGTCTTAAATTTTTAACTGTCCCTTTCAATCTTTTCTTTATTAGCTTGTGGAAGAAGCCAGTTAAAAAGGACTAGGATTGTTGGTGGTGAAGATGCAAGATCTGGAAAGTGGCCTTGGCAAGCAAGCTTGCAGATGGGGATGCATGGCCATATTTGTGGTGCATCTGTTGTTTCAAATAGGTGGCTGTTATCTGCTGCCCATTGTTTTCTGGACTCTGATTCTATAAGGTAAGTACAGGTGCTTCTATCCAGTGCAACTTAGCAAGAACAGAAGAGTTTCATTAGTTTTATGTATTCATGATGCTGGCCACAGTTGCTTTGAATGCATAGTTCTGTGCACATGGTGTAATTGGTATGTTTTGTAGATCTGGAGTACATTTCATCCAATCATCAAAAGTATAAAACATTCATAATGATTATACCATCACTGTAACCAGAAAGTAAATCCTGCTGTTGAACCATAGAGTTAATTGTGAAGGAAGCTGAAAGAAATGTATTAAAAAATGCTCCTCACTATTAAGATTAGAGCACATCTCACAATGGGAAGGTATGGAAACTGGCTGGTCGATAAGGGCTGGTGGTGTCATAGAGACAGGCCTGATGATGTCATTTATTGCAAAGGTGTCATCAAGATTACTCAAGTATGATCTCATTGAGGGATTTGGAAGGTTGGACTTCTGAACTGTGGATGGATCCACAAGTACCCATTCTGTGTTTAAAGTGCCTTCCTTCTGTCAAACTAATGAATGCATTGATGGGCTGCCACTCAGTGTTAGGTGCAAGCTATGATTTTAATTGGATGGCTAGGTGAAACACCTGAAGTCTAGGAGTCAGGACTCAGAACTCCTAGGTTCTTTTGACAAGATCCATAGTGAGAGTGAAAAATGGCAATATTCCACCTAAACCCCATCTACATTATTTGGAAGTTCCTACCAAAATAAGTAATGAAACAATTGGCAATATTGATAGTTAGGAGCCTTGATTTTTTCAGATTTGTGCCATGTAATCACTGCAGTTACCTTCAGAAAAAAAGGATAGCTATACCTCTAACTGGCCACTTGGAAGCACAATTATTCACTTACCACACAAAATCAGGAAAATAGGCATGCGTTATCAGGTGCGGTTAGGAATAGATGCCTTTAAAGTATTATTAGGTTTCACAGTCAACACATCATTGAGATGGATGCGAACAGTTGTTGGTTATGTGTTGGAGTTATTATTTCTGTTGGTTTGCTGGCTGGTACAGCAGTGACAATAGTGGTGTTAGTTCTCAACCAGAAGGAGCAGAAATTTATTTCTATTCATTTCCTAAAGCTTAAATGGCTGAGGTCTCATATAATTGGAACTGTAGTAACCCTTACTGTCTCAGTTTGACTGAGGCACAATCCTGCCCCTCTGCGACACAAGTAAGTTGCTGACCCTATCTGTGCCTCAGTGCTCTGCATTGGTCACACAGGGATAAGTTCCACATCCTGTGAAAACCTTCAAGATCCTTGGATGAAAAGTGCAAGTATAAGTCCTATTATTCTCAGAAAGCATCCCATTAAAAACAATGAACAAAAGCATCTACCTTACTTTTATTTTAAAAGTAAGTGAACTGTCTTACTGACTTCATGCTGTGCTATGCCCCTGACTTTGGGCATTTCTTACAATTTGTAAATAACTCTTAATCAAATAATCTGCCATGATGTTTCTGTAAATATTGTCTGCTTGCAGATACTCTGTGCCTTCTGGCTGGAAAGCGTACATGGGCATACGGATCATTAACAAAAACAGCAATCATGTAGCTATGAGATCAATCAAAAGGATTATTGTCCATCCACGGTATGACCAATATATCTCAGACTATGACATTGCCCTGTTGGAAATGGAGACACCAGTATTCTTCAGTGAGCTGGTACAGCCCATTTGTTTACCCAGCAGTCCTAGAGTATTTTTTTATGGAACTGTCTGCTATGTAACTGGCTGGGGAGCCCTAAAAGAAAATAGTATGTTCATTTCCTGGATATGTTTCTTGCAAGTTTGACTCTAATTTTAAACTGTAAGAGTGATGTGATCATGCTAAAAACAAATATTATCATGGTTTACTTAACACAGTGGTTTTCAACCTTTTGCATTGGCGACCCCTTTCACAAAGCAAGCCTTTGACTATGATGTCCCATGTCAATTAAAAATGAGGAGGGAGGGGGAATTTATTGAAGGGGGAGTCAGAGCGGTCAGTCCCATGGAGCTGATAGCTCATGACCCCCATGTAACCACCTTGCGTCCCCTTGGGGGTCGGATCCCTCTGTGACTTAGCAAGCTTTTCAAAACTAGAACATTCCCTCTTTGTCAAAGCAACTTAAACGGCACCTGAGCCAAACTGCTGAACATTTGTGGGGTTTCTTAATGCTGGCAATCAGTTTAGGTCAATCAGGAGTCCTACTGTTTGGCGTTGGAGACCAGGCCTACTGTTGGAGAGGGGAGGCAAAGGCAGCAGTTGCTCCGAGTCCTGGTGATTCACAGGAGCCCAGGGCTCACAGCCATTGTTGCTACTACAGCAGCAGCACTGGCTACCGTATCCCCAGCCTCTTTAAATCCCCACTGGAGAGCCACACCACGTGCTCTAGGCTTCTCTGAGGGCTGGGGGCACAAAGGGCAGGCTGCCTTGGCCCACCCCTTCCATCTGAAGCCCTGCCCCTTCTGGAAGTGTCCTGTCAGCTCCCCTATTGGAGACTTCCATGGGTCATTAGAAAGATAATTAACCCATATTAACACTTGTTTCTCACATACACAGTTCATTTAATTCTACAGTTCTTCACAATTTTATAGACAGAGAAATAGGAAAGAAGCCGATACAAGCTCGAGCCAGAACTAGAGCTCAAATGCTTCCAGTTGCCAGACTTTCAATGAATTCCTTTTATATATTGCATTATGATCTGATTCTAAGGTCTTACCTTTGACCTGAATTTACCTATCAGGGTGTCTGTGGATTTCTTAACATACCTTTCATCTAACATATAAACATCAAGACTACTGGTTATTTATGTCTAAATGCATGTTAAGTAATGGCTTTTTTAATATTAGAACTTCATATAGGGTCAATTTTTTAAAGAAAATATTTATATATGAAATTTCAACTTGATTTGAAACTGTGACATTAAAATATTTGAAAACCTTCCCTCCGTAATTTCACCTAAACCCTAGAAAAGTCCTAACGACAAGGCGAGAAGTGGTTCAAATTGTGCCACACCAGTTTGGTATTCTTCAGGATACCAAATTTGGCCCTTGGTGCCAATTTATCAATCAATGGCTGTCATTGGGAGTTATAACCAGTAAAGCATGTTTATTTTTATCCACATCTTTCTTCCCAATTCCCTCTCTGTTGGGAGCAGCAGCAGGGCAGATTGCCTTATAACGGGGCCTGCGTGGGGCCTTTGGGTACAATTTCTATATAAACAATACAGAAATATTGAACAACTCACGTGCAGGCAGATGATGTAACAAAACCTAAAACGTGTTATACTTTGTGGTTTCTCATATTGTACTGGACAATTCCTATAAATCTCCATGCCACCACTTGCTTTTTGGTTTGGCTAATCAAAGGAAGGCAACAATGGCAGAGGGTTGTAAACTTTCCTGATCTCCTTAAGGGTAATGTGAAAGCAGTGTTGTTAATAAATATTCAAAAGCTGTGGGAGAGGACAATTTAAGCTAGAGCTGCATTTCTCAAATGTGGCCACCAGGGACTTTTCTTGTGGCCACAGCCTCCTGGCAGTGGTTGGGTCTTGTCCATCTCTGGAGACCTAAAAGTTGGAGGAGCAGGTAGCAGGTGTAAGCTCACCAATTTCTCAGCGCTGCTGGTATCAGGCTTCAGCCATTCGATGGTGGGTGGAAGGCTCTAGGCACAGGGGTTCAGGCTCTGGTTCTCAGCCATACAGCGGTGCTCTGGCCCCAATGTCACTCCTGCCTGGCTCTTGCTGTCTCTATCTACATTCCCACCCAGGGCTTTATTTGTCCCTAAGCTTGTTGAGGCTGAGTAAGTCTGCTGTATATTTGTATGTTTGTTAATCTCAGCAGGCTTAGTAATTAGCAAAACTTATTTTAAAAGGAAACTAAAAAGGAAACCTTATTTATGTTCCTATTCTGTTTAGGTCCAATAGAGAAAATTGTCAATTACATTTATCACTGAGGCCTAGAAAAAATCCTATACAAATTGCATTTTGTGTGTGTGTGTGTGTGTGTGTGTGTGAGTGTGCGCGTGCGCATGCGCGCGCTTTAGGAAATATTGTCAGAGCAGCCACTGGCAAGAGTTGGTGTCCGAAATATGAGGCCATGAAACAAATTGTGGGAACCCCTGAGCTGGAGTTCAGTAGAGTCTAAATACATTGCTCCCTTCTAATGTATCTGCTTCTACTTCAGAACTGTAAAGCCTGTATCTGTTACACTTACATTGTTCTAGGTTACCTTGCCAAAACACTGCAAGAAGCTAAAGTGAAAATAATTAACCAAAGTGTTTGCAACAAGCTGTATGATGATCTGATCACCTCTCGAATGCTGTGTGCTGGAAATCTTAACGGCGGCATTGATGCATGCCAGGTAAAAGTGAAAATTGTAGGAAAACTGTCGTCGTTTAATTCCTATGTATATCAGGAATGTGTTTGGTTTTGACTCTGTGATGGAGCACAGAGTTTTGGAATTGTGGTTGACATACATAAGAATCTCAGAAGCAGGGTGGTAAGTTTGACAGACAGTAGTTGAATCCTTTGAAACAAATGCTGCATTTCAAAACAATAGGTAAGATCAGGTGTGTTGATATTGTTCTGCTGTGAGACCTTGTATTGGTTCTGGCTGAAGGGGATGCAGGAAAGAAAGAGATTGAGTTAGGACTGTTTGTGGAATCTTAATGATGAATTTTTAATTCTTAAACTTATGGGTGAACTCAAGGTGGAATTCCTTCTTTTCATCTTTCTTTTTGTACTGCTCTATGATCAGCTGCTTGTTCAATGGAATGATTCAGACAAGAGAGGTAAGTCGCTATTCACATTCTTCTCGTCTTCTTTGCATCTCCTTGTTGCCATTGTGTTCCATTTAGATTTGTCAGGATTAGTTTTTATTTAATAACTAGCCAGTTAGCCTGTCATAAGATGGGATTTTCAGGTCTTCTTTCTTGAGTACTCTCGCTCTGTCTGTCTGTCTGTTGCTCTCTCTCTCTCTCTCTCTCTCTCCCCTCCTACTACCTTCTCCCCCCTCCAGCTCTCCTCCGCCTCCTGCCTCTCTCCCCTCTCCGTTTCTCCCTGCCCCCCTTCCCCTTCCCTTTTCCTCCCTCCATGGCAGCTAGGCTGAGTGTTGCATGCTCAGCTGGGCCGCCGCGGGGGAGGAAGGGTGGGGCGGTGATGTACACTGCCAGGGGATGGGGTTGTCTAGTCACCGCGCCCCCTCCCCCCTGTGGCAGCCCGGCTGAAGGGCGCACCACTCAGCACCACGGCAGGAGGAGGAAGGGAGGGCCGT